CGTGAATGACCTGTTTCCTTCCCCCCCCCCACTTACCTCTTTTTCTGATCCTATGGGTTAACCCAGCTCAGCCTTCCCCCAGCACTGCCGCCAAAGCACAAACCAGCAAGTACCATCAGTGCCAGGCAAGTGCTCGGTCTTAACATCTTCCTCCTATGCTCACTGAGCTATAGCATACAAACAGGTATGTTTATTCATTTTTTTACTCCCAGAACCATGCTTTAGATTAAATACTTCTTTCATTTCTCTTCCCCGGTGAGTTAGAGAGTGTACAACATGCATCACACTATCTTTATTTCTTACAGGCAGATTCTTCTACCATCCTCTCCTAAAAAGCTTTTTTCATTCCCTGGAACATTTTAATCCCTCTTCTCCACAGCTGCTCCAGTTTGGGGTGTTTTTTTGAGTACAGAATGTGTTCAGTATTGCCAGGGAATATGAGAATCCTAATAAGTCTTTTCTTTACTGGAATTACCTGTTCTGAGGTGCCCCTTTCCATTTTTCATGCATGAGAATGGTGGCTCATGGTTGTTTTAGGATCAGGAAAGATGAAAAAATGATATGATCCCATGCCATTCTTTAGGCTTTCAGGGATGAAAAAGGGAAAAACATGGAACTATTAAAGAATAAGACTAACAAGAATAAAATACAAACTACGTTGCAACTAACTAATAGAAACAGAATGTACCAAAGATGTGGTAAGAGCAAATCTTCAAATATTAAGGAAAATCTTCAAATAAAGGAAAAAGTTAACATCAATATATCTAAGAGTAGGCAAAAAAATTCAAAATCCTAAGAAGAGGTATTATTAAAGCAAAAACCCTTTACAGGATCTACCAATTACCGCTGCGTCCCCCATAAACGACTTTGTAAATAACCGCTCCTGTTTCCACTGTCATTCTCCGTGTTATTGTTCTGCTGGCTTCCCAACAAATGTTTTAATGGTACTTGTTGCCAAGGAGCACCCTCTCACTGCCCTGACTCAAGGTCCTCAATACCTACTTCTCTGTTGTGAAATCCAATGTGAAGGCCAAATACCACCAGCCCACAGCATACTAAGTTCTAATAAATTGCTTAATTAATATATTCGATACAAATGACAAATTATGTTACATCCTTTACTTCCACGTCTTTAATTATCCTGTCTTTCAAAACATTTTAAGAAGTCTTACATCACACGGTCAGGCTTAAAAGCCACAGATTTATGGCTATGGCTGATTTCATCATTTATTTCCTTCTTTCTTATACGTTTCAGCTCATACAGCTTTTTGCCTAGATTTATTATTTTAAAATCACATGGAAGACCTAAGCTGTATGTAAATCTATTCTTAAACACAGAATATGAGATAAATATGAATTGTTATGTGGGGGGGAAAAAAAAAATCCTGACTTTGTCTATTAAAAAATGGCCTCCTAGTAATGTTAATGTTCAGGATAAAATAATCAAATTCTAAGAGTCCAATGAAAATATTTACTCAGTGCCAAGCAGTAGTCAAAAAGGAAAGGACTGGACAAAAATGCAGGCAAAAAGCATTAGCTCTTGTAACCTTTAGGGAACAGAAGAAGGTACAATTCAGGAACGGTACAATTTGATAGTGTCTTTTTTTTTTATGTTCTATATACTTTATGAACTAAAAAAATAGGTGTGGCAAATGAGGTTTTCGTAACATTTAGAAAGGAATAATGGTTTGGGGTTTTATTTTTAAAAGTCAAATTCACTGTCACATATCTGGCACAGTTGACAAACCCAGAAGTGCATGGTACATAAGAAAAATTCTTTTTAACCTCCTTGTCTGTATGGTACATACATTTACCTCACAGGTTAGTGGGCTGGGGAGGAAAGCAGGTAAGTAAGAGCATATGAGTACGTGTGAGGGACTTTACTAGTCCGTGTATAGGTTGGTTCCTCAATCTCACACACAAGTCCATACTTCCACATTTTCACCACTCCCACTTTAGCCTTCACTGAAAATTCATGCAGTTCTGGCACAGATTCCCAGTACGGTTTTAGGTCACACACTGGCAGAGAGTGAAAAGTCACCATAAGAAACAGCTGCTTCAAGAGACACACTCAAATGTGCAACCTGAATTCTCCTTCATATAAGTTGTGCATATACATGGGCATCCAATGAACTGAAAACAGAGGTTAAGGTTTGTGTTTAAAACATGACTTGGAGAACTGGAGATAGTCTGCTGCTACATGCTAGAGCCAAAAGAATAATTACAGACTAGAAAGGAGCTTAAGAATGCACTTGGATATTACAGGTCTGTGTGAGATAAGGAGCATAAAACAGTCAGAATTAAACCTCAGTCTTAACAGTGATTTCCTCACGTCTGTGATTGCTCTGATAGGCGATGGGCTTTAGTAGCTCTCCTTAATGTTAAATTACAAGAGCTTAGGGAGCAGACACAGCTACAAAGTAGAAAAAAAAACCCTAAACCTGACAAACCTCATGAATGTTCTTGTAATTGTATGTATCTTAACTCTGACATAATTATCCCATGGAAATCCTTCAGTATATTACTGCAGATTACCCAGGGACTGAAAGAACCCATTACAAAACATGCAAAAGCATTTAAAGATATTCCAGTTACACTGGCTTCTGAAATACTCCAATATTAGCTTGTGTGTGATCTTGTCCATCTGACTGGCTCTGTAATGTTCGGACTGTCATATTAACGCATATACACATTCAGAATAAGTGCACAGTTTAGTGCTCAGCCAGTTGTTGCTAATGCATTAAGCAGTAAAGCTCATCTCAAAAATATTATTTTATTTGGTATCATGCTTCAAGTAATTGATGAAAATTGGCCTTCAGTCTTAGCCCTCAAAACAATGCAGGTTACCTGGTATAACAGCACACAGTCTGTACAATTATTTACAATGTCTCAAGAAACCTTCACTGAAAACCATCCTTTTGTTTCATAGTTAGCTATAATAAATTCTCTGTAGATTTTTAATCAAACCGTGTAAAAGATCAAACTACTTCTTCAGGTAGAGCTGCAATTCTTGAAAATGTCTCTTTGGAGTAGGCCAAGTAAGCAAATTTATCAATTTTAGCTGGAGATGATGCATATTTTCACAGCATGAATAAATGAAATTAGTAACCTTTTCCATCAAGATTCTGCTCATGCTCTTTTTTTTTCCCCCTATATAGTTTTCCATAAAACGCATCATCATATTTTATACATCTCTCAGACTCTATACAGTCCACTGCCTTTCTTTCCCTAAAAAATGTTCTTTGAATGTTTCTCCTTAGGCATTTATTTCTTTGTTCTCCTAGGTCTCCTCCACCAGAAAATCTTTTTTAAAGGTGATCAGAACATGGGGAAACTCTCCTTCCCACTCCCCAAATGATACCTCACATCTAAATCTCGTTCGGGAATTCCTTCCCAGGCTCTTATAGTCTTCACCCTTGCTTTGGTAAAGCCTGGGGCAGCACAAGTCTTTTGGCATAAATCATAAATGAAAAACTACATTAAGACACCACATTTAATTGCATTTAAGCCATCTGGCCCATTTAAAAGATATATATATTTAACCCAAGATTGGCCAGAATGGATGAACTGGATGTTGAGCACCCCTTAGCTCCTGTGAAAAGGTAAAACAAGGGCACAATGAGGACAGCTCTTCCCGGCCACCTTAACAGTACAGTTTCACCTTAAAAGGGTCACTGTGATCGGTAGCACAATATGGTTAGTTCAGCCTCCCCTGCTCACAAAGTCCTTGAACACCACATCGCAACGGGCAACGCTGGGCGACTAACATCAGGAGCACCGTGAGTTTCCTTATACGCTCACTAAGCACGTAAGAACTGAAATTGCATCCCCTCTACTCGCCACACTGCACTTAGTTTACTAAGCCATTCGTTACATACTATCTACTCACTCCTCATCCGGGTTAGTTTTACAATCAATGCATTTAGTACATTCTCAGTCCTCCCTCTGAACCTCTTCCTTTGTTTTATCCATTTTATCCAAGGCACCCAGTCATCTGCCTTCTACTTCACACCAAACATTTTCTTTCTCAACTTAAAAGTTTCCAAGCTGATTTTCAGGGTAAGCAATACTAAGGAAAAAAAAAAAAAGGAACTTGCTGAAATAATACAAGGACTGCCTGGAAGCTGACTAGAATTCAAAGGAAAAAACCCACATAAAAACCTTTTATAAATAAGTTCTTAGTGCTTACATATTATGCAAGCGTAACTAGTGAAAAGCTAGTGCTACTACTGTTTTTAAAGAAGCAGAAAAATGCAGTAATGCCTGTACTCCTTCCTCCTTCAGCATGAGGGGCAAAAGTAAGTTAAGTGAACAAGTGATCCATATTCCCTGGCTGTACAAAACGAGTGCAACTCCTGTACTTACCGAGGATTCCCAGGTTCAGGATACATTGACGGGACAATTGAATTGTTTGGATTGTGTGATTTTTAGGAAAGAATCGGTCTCTATCAAAAACTCTTAAATTGCATGTGTACAAGACGACATCCATTTCAACCACAGAGAAAGTACAAGACTACTTTAGAATGCAGACTGGAAGAGACTACATGAAAAAAGCCATTTTGCATAAATTCATCTGTCTCACTGCACAATCCCATACATCCAATATGAGAAACATGAACTAATTATTTAACATTTGCATACAAATTACATATTTTTGTGTTTTGTGGCATGGTTCCCTGTGTGATCTTAGGCCAGTTTCTAAACCTCTCTAAATCTCTGCTTCCTTGTTTGCAAAGCAGATTAGTATTAGTTATGCAGGATGGGGTGAGGCTTAATTAACTCAAGTTTGTAAAGGGCTTTCTGATCTTCAGATACTAAGTAGAAGGAGGACTAGAAAAATCAATTGAAGAAGCAAAAAGCATGTAAGCTCACGTCCACACAACAAACATTTGGCGTATCAAATTGATACAGAAAATACTAACATTTCTTTGCAGTAGCAGCAAAAATGACATTAACAGAAAGTATAAAATATGTATATTAAAAATAAATAATTAACTTACTTCTTCCTAATTTCTAGGTCTGAAACTGGAACACATCTCAGGCCAGCTCCCAATACCATGAGGGATGATGTTAGTAAAACAGTTACCCTCAGACCTAAGATGAAAAAACAACAGTATTTTACAAGTCAGCAATGTTGCAAAAGAAGAAAATGTTGCCTAAATATATATATTTATATGCAGTCTCACAGAAGTAATGCATATCTCTTTCGAATCATAAACGCCTTGGTGCTGATGTGAATTACAGATACATTATGAAATCCTGTGTTATTTTCCATGCTTACTCTCCAGAATTACAAAGGTTTACTTTTGGCATACTATCGCACAGGACTGTACCCAAAATCTTACAGACATTCTTGGAAGTGAAAAGTGATAATAAAAGTATTATCAAAGTGTACAATATTCCCTTTAGAATTAGAAGCATCAGGGAATATGCTCCAGTGTGTGATCTGAAATCTAGGTAGATCCAAAGAAAAATCTGGACTTGTATGTTCTTTTCCAACCACTTAACGAGCACAGACACAGAACTGTTATTGTTTTCTTTCGTAATGCAGATATGCATTTCATCCTGAAGGAATAACCACTTATTCAGGGGAAAAAAGTGCAAGTATTTTTTTGCAGTCCTTGCAATTAGGCCAGGTTTTCGCTGCGCTCAGCTCAAATTGTGAGAGGTTGTAAATATAGTACATTAGAAAAAAGCTACAATTGACTGATTCCTTGAATACGTTTTCTTCCACATACTGCGATTCTCGACTGAGAAGCACTTAGATTAGAAACAACTTTATCTTAGTGCTGCGATTCCTTTTGCCAGCAGTTTACTTGCTGCTGCTAAGGTGTTTCCATTAGCAGCAAATAGAAAGAGAACAGTGACAGCTGAGGGGCTTAACTGCCAGAATCTTGTAAAACACCAAAATCATAAATATGCACAATTAAAAACTGCCGATACAGTCTGTATCTGCGAAGTCGTAAAACTTGAAACAATTTCACAGCAACAGTTCTTAGCAGAACACAATAAAAACAATTAAATGATGACAAACACACAGTATCGCTTTTAGGTGAAACTAGTAACTACCCAAAACACAGACAGAAAAAGAACAAGTCCCAGTGATAACTCACCTAACAAACAAACAATTTTGATTCTCTCTAAACCTGCCACTTTTCAGAGAAGCGCTCCCTCTATGTTAATGACTCCTGTAATCAGTACAATTCAATCAGTAGTCGCATTAAATATTTTGTCTCCAAGTGAATTTTATGGGGGGTTTTGAGCATGTATTTTACTAAAATGAGCATCACTTTGCTCTTATTGCAACAGCTTTTAGTGAACCTCACTCACGGGTATGCAACTCCTTGTCTAGGCACTGCACAAACCAAACCAAAGACGGCTCCTCTCTCAACCAACCTAGCCCGAGACAGCCCAAACAAAAAGAAGTTAATGTTACAGGTTTTCTGAACTGGAAGTATGACTTTCTTTGGTATGGCTCAGTCATTAACAAAGGAATGCAACCCGCAGTCCTGCGACTCTGAAGGACACCTCACATCCCTGATGCCCTGGAGAAGTATCAACAGCCGAGAATATTTGTTTCCTTAAAGGATTTCCAATGCCGGCCCAGACTTACTTGCTTGACTCTGCGCTTAACCAGCACGTGTTGCTGTTAAACTGGTTTTTCAAGTACGCGTGCTCAGGGAGCCCTAACTAAATGCCCGGATAATACGGTTGTTCAAAATCCTGTTGTTCTTCATGTTTGCTGGGCCACCACGTCAGCCTTCACATGGCGTGCTTAACCCCATATTACCATACTGCATATGCCGTGGGGGTAATTATTTGGATCAGGATTGTGTATGTGGTGCTTCTGCCTTTTCTTCTGGGAAATGAATCTTCGTTAGCATCGCTTTTGTGCATAATGAGAACTTATACACAATAAGAATTAGAATTTTATTGACGGAAAAATCAAAACACAAGTCTTTTAACTGAAAAATCTGAAGTTTTCCCTTTGGAAACGCTGCTGCAATGTTTCAGGAAAGCTCTAGTAATGTACATATCACCTTCGTATTTTCCATGTAAACCACGGTCTATTTGAATTACATTTCACAAAGCTCGGCACGTTCTGCCTTTCAGAAGACACAAGGACAGAGACAGCCAGCCTGGAAGGTCCTGCTCACGGGGTGCCACAGGAGGCAGAGGCCAGGTGCAAGCCCAGGGCACAATAGTAAATGAGTATTATACAGAAATTTAAGTTTAAATCACCACAGAACGCATGAGGAGTGTTTCCAAATAAGAAAACTTCTATTTGATTTTTAATTTTTAAAAAAATCCCCAAACAGAAAAACACAAACAAAGAAAAAGTTTTAATGTAAATCTGCAGAAAAGTTTCCTAAGAAAAACAACACGCAATTAGGGGAAAACTGAATTGGATGCTGAAGTTTTCCCCCGGCCCTAATTCTAGGCTTATCTTTAATGTCAAACTTACATGTCAGATAATTTTATTTTAAAATTACCAGTTAAAGCCTCACAATCAAGTATGTTTGATCCCTTCAAACATTCTTTGAAGTCCCCATCTTGAATGCTATACACTGTAATGCATCACTTTTAAATGTTTTGATCGCACAGATTATTCTTTGGCCTTTTTTTTTTTTTTCCACCTTAACATGTAAACACACCCCTAAAAATTCCTTTGGTTAAAGCTGCATGTTGAAAATGATGACACTGAAGTGAACAAGTAAAAGACTGTCAGACAAGCAGCATATTAGACATTTTCTTTGCTAATTATATGACGTATTTCTAACCTCTAAGCACCTTCCTCTTTTATTTTGCTTTACATTTTAACTCTCCAAATCCATCCTCCTTTTCACCTTTATTAGAAACTGGTCTTTAACAGTATTTTTATAACTATTTTGGTATTTTTGCTTTGAAGGTTGCAGTGGTCCTTAGTCTGAATTGGACATCTTGTATTACTCTAAAAGGTGCACCCCAGAGTGTTTCAGATTGCAGCATGCATCATGGGCACAATAAACCAAAGTAACCAACCAAGCCTGAAAAAAACCCCCTGTGAACCCTGCAAGAAATTATTTCTCTATTTTAAAAGATCTAAGTAATTCACACAACCAAGATTTTGAGTAGATGTAATTAACTTCATTAATTTTACCCTGTAAATGCAAGCGGTAATTGATGGGGGGGTGGGGGGCTACAGATTCTTAAAATCCGTCATCCAGTTTCCAGTCCCCTTCTATCAGGGGTTTCTGACACATGCCTGGAAAGGGAAGAAACTCCTTCAAAGGGATTTTCTGCCAATGGAGGAAGTTTTCTGTTCTTTGGAGCCCATCTCCTCAGCTGCTCATTCCCACCCTGCTCCTGCAGCAGGTTTCTGGGCCCCACGGGTTGCACTGACTGTTGAGCAAAACGTGGCCACATTCAGAATTGACAGTAACAGAACAGTCCGAGCTAGCAGCAGAAATTGAGTCAGTAATAAAAAGACATATTAATTACCATTTATGAGTGAAACAGTCGATATTGTTGTTTAACCCTCCTGCAGCTAATAACACAGTCTGCTTTACAACTTCAGCAGCCCATGCTGCATTTGCTGGGTTTTATTTCTTTTGAAAACAACTATCCCCAAACTCCTGCCACTATTCGAGATTTAACACAAACTCTCAACCTACAATGCTCGTAACTCTTCTGCAAAGCACAGACTTTTAATCTGGCCAAGACCATGTTGTACTAATAAACTAGTAACGATGACCTGTGCTGGCAAGATACGCTGACCGGCTCTGGCCCCTGGGACATTTCTAGCTGGCCCACTGGTTTCCTTTTCTCTCTGCTGGGAAAGCAGCTGCTGCAGCAATGCACACAGCGTGATGAACCCAGGGCCCCCCACCACCCACAGCCCAACACAGAAAACAAGCAAAACCGACACACCGCAGCGTGGTCTCACCCCGGAGTAGGAGGCAGCGGCCACCGTGGCACCCAGCTGCTCTTCAGCTCCCTCACTGCACCATCACGCGATAGCATCCAATACTGCATCCTCCACATCTTCCAGCATGCCTTACTTTCAAGATACTTTTTAAAGTACATGAAAAGAAAATGCATTCCACCCCCAACATTGTATTACTTGTAACCTAGTAAGTGATTTATTATGCCCAGTGTAATAAGCCTAATAAAAGATGTTGTACAGCTACAATTAACTTATTCTAACTATTTATACATTATCAGTTTGCCATTCAGAAAGAGAACATGATTAACAACTGTTCGTTGCCTTTGCAAGCTTTTGAGAAGTATGACCATTCCTTCTCTCACCTGTCAGTCACCCGTTACAATAAAACATCATAAAACACGTGACTGACAGACTGTAAAAAACAGATCCTTACTCACACAAAACACACATTCAAGTCAAAATTGTCTGCATGTCAAGAAGTGGAAGTTTCTACTTCTGCTGTCCAGTGGCAGCAAACACCCTGTGCATCCCCCCGGCTGCGGCCAGCGCTCGGCAGCACCCCCAGGTCCCCAGCTACTGCTACAGACCTGCGGGGAGCAACACGCTTCTGGTGCAGAGCATCACACAAGTGGCAGGTATTGTTTGGGTTTGGTGTCCCCCCCGCAATGAAGCATCCATCTTGGGGGGCAAATTCCAGTTGGATGTGCAGAACAGACACTTTCACCTTTCCGCTAAGATTAATGGAAGTTTGGCCAGCAGAAAGGCTGCCAGATTCAGCGGATTTCCCTTGTACAGCTCACACACCCCATTCCTCGATGCATTGATGTTTGAGGGATTTCCTTCCCTCAGCTGCAGATACTAAAATCAGTCCTACAAATGCAGAATACAACAAGGCTCTAATTAGAAACGAGCGACATCAGCCTGCTGCACATTTTCACAGTTTTTAAAGACCAGGCTGGAAGCAAGAACCATGCCTTCTGACGCTGAACTGAGAGCATTTTAATTCACTTAACTACTCCGCTATTATTTTGACTAAAGCATATCCAGCTAAAAGAAATAAATAATCCTGTCTTGATGCACACATATCAGGAAATGAAAAAGTCCTCAATTTCAACAGCTGTTCTAACAATTCACTGTTAAATTGTGCTTTTCCCTCCAATTTAAAGCA